GTATTATTTCCTTAAATATATGGTAAAATTCACCAGCGAAGCCATTGGGCCTGAAGTTTGCTTTGTGAGAAAATGTCTAACTACAATTTATTTTTCTATAATAGATTTAGGGCTATTCATGTTATCTGTTTTTATCTTTTTTCTTGAGTAAGCCTCAGTAATTTGTCTTTCAGGGAATTTGTCCATTTCATCTAATTTGTCTAATATATTGGCATTAAAGTATTCAGAATATTCCTTTTAATATTTGTGATATCTCTAATGATATCGTCTTATCCCTTATATTGATGATTTGTATCTTCTCTTGTCTTTTTTCGGATCAGTCTAGCTAGAAGTTTATCAATTCTGTTTATCATCTCTCAGTGCCAACTTTTAGGTTCAGTGATTTTTGTCTTTTGTTTTATATTTCAATAAGTTTTCCTCTGATTTTAATTATTTCTTTTTTTTCTGCTTACGTGGTGTTTCAATTGCCCATCTTTTTGTAGTTTTTTAAGGTGCTAGCTGAAGTCATTGTTTGAAGACCCTTTTTACTGCTTTTGTAGCATTTAAAAATTATGATATGTTATGTTTTCATTTTCACTTATATTGAAATACTTTGTCCCTTGGGTTATTTAGAAGTCTGCTATTTAGTTTCAAAATACTAGGGATTTTACAGAGATCTTTCTGTTGTTGGTTTTTTAGTTTCATTTAATGACTTCAGTCCTTTGAAATTTGTTTAGATTTGGTTTTATGGACCAGAATATGATCTATCTTTGTAAGTGTCCCACAAAACTTGAAAGAATGTGAATCTGCCACTTTGGGGTAGAGTGATCTATAAATGTTAATTAGGCTAAGTTGTTTGATTATATTATTTATTTTCTTTTATATTCTTATCAATCTTCTACTTGGTCTATCAGTTATTGAGAGGCAGGATTGAAAAATCTCTTAGTTATAATTATACATTGTTTATTTCTTCCCCTTTTTTAGAGTTTTTACTTCCTGTATTTTGTAGCTCTGTGATTAGATGCATAAAAATTTAGGATTGTTGATTTCTCTTAATAAACTGACCTCCTTTACTATTATACGATGACCCTCTTTATTTCTGGTAACAGTATTTGTTCTGAAATTTGCTTTGAGATTAATATAACCTCTTCGACTTTCTTTTGATTAGTGTTAGCACAGTGTATCTTCTATCCCTTTAAAGTACTTTATATTAAAAATATGTTTCTTATAGGCATATTTTTATATATAGTTATATATTTGGATCTTGCTTCTCTCTCCCACCATGGACAACCTCTGCCTTTTCACTGAGGTACTTGAAGCATTTACATTTATTGTGATTATTTATATTATTAGGTTTACATTTCATCTTGCTACTTATTTTCTGTGTGTTTCGTATGTTCTTTGTTCACTTTTTCCTCATTTTCTTACTGCTTTTGCCTTAACTGGGTATGTTTGATGATTCCATTTTGACTCCTTCTTGACTTTCGAGCTGTAACTTTTGTTAATTTGGTGGTTGTTTTAGGGCTTATAGGATGCATTCTTAACTTACCACAGTCTACCTTCAAGTGAGATTATACTACTTCACATATAGTAAAAGAACCTTACAGCAGGATACTTCTGTTTTTCCATTCCCAACCTTTGTGGTATTGTTTTCAGACACTTTTGCATATGTTTAAAACAATCCACATTACATTATTATTATTTTCATCTTAATAATTATCTTTTAAAGGAATTTAAATAATAAGAAAAAAACCCGTTGTATATGTATCCACATAGCTATCATTTCCAGGGCTCTTCATTCCTTTATATAGATCTGGATTTCCATTTTGGTATCATTTTTTCTTCTGGCTGGAGGACTTCCTTTTACATTCCTTGTAGCACAAGTCTGATGGTGATGAATTATTTCAGCTTTGGTATGTCTGGGAAAGTATTTTGCTTTCATTTTGAAGGATATTTTGCTGTACAAATATATTTCTGCTGGAATGGCAGGGTCCTTTTCTCCTTTAAGTACTTTAAAGACAGTGCTTCCCTAACTTCTTGTTTGCATTGTTTCCAGTAAGAAATGTGTTGTTATCTTTATTCCTCTGTGTGTATTTTTCTCTGGGTTTGCTTAAGATTTTCTCTTAATACTGGTGTTGAACAATTTGTTCCATTGTGCTTTGGTATAGTTTTATTCATGTTTCTTGTGCTTGGGATTCATTGAAATTCTTTAATCCATGGGTTTGTTGGTTTCATGAAATTTGGAAGTTTTTTATTCATCTTTCTTCAGATATATTTTCTGTTCCCCCTTCTCCCTCCTCACCTTCATGAAATCTAATTACGCATATTTCACCCTACCTAAACCTGCCCCATATCACTGATTTTCTCTTCTTTTTTTCTCTCTTTTCTCTCTTTGTGTTTCATTTTTGATAGTTTCTGTTACTGTGTCTTTAAGTTCACTAATCTTTTCTTCTGCGGTTTCTATTCTGTGGTTAGTCCCATCAAGTGTATTTTTTATCTAATACATTGTAGTTTTCATCTCTAGAAGTTTGGCTTAGGCCTTTTTATATCTTTATGTCTGTATCTTCTGTATGTGAATGTCAGGCACTTTTTCCTCTGATTCTCTCAGGAGGCTGTTTCCCAGCCTTGAGTAACATGCATACTCTGATCAGAGATCCACAGGATATTCAAGGACACCCTCTGCGTATCTCCAGGGCTCACTCTTTCTCTGCTTGTCTCTTCCTTCTGGTGCTCTGTCTTATGAAATCTGGCTGACTTGGTTTCCCTTGACTCTCAGTTCAGCGGATCTGCTACACTCTGCCGGTTCCTTACTCTGAACAGTAAACTGTTCTGGCAGTAAACTGTCATCTGGATTTTAATATCTCTCCAAGACAGGGATAAATGGTCATTGAAAGCAAGTGAGCATGGTGACGGGGTGGAGGTGGCCTCCACAGGACATGAAGTGAGTTGTACTGAGTCATCTGAGAGTGCAGTGTGCTACTTCTGGCCAGTGGGCTTGACAGTTCAGTGTCTGGGTTCAGAATATGAGTCCGCCCATGTTCTAAGCATGTTCTAAAGATTCATATCCTAAACTAGTTTTGATTTTGGTGGCCTATGACATCCATGTGATATGAATTATCAAGCTCAATATATAAATGGAGATACATGTATTCAATTCCCAGTTATACAAGTATCTTTTCAAAAACTTTCAACCCTGCAAAATTAGCCTGTGATTAGTTAAGATGAGACAGTTTAAACACAGCAAGAAAACAAGTACAAGGGTACTTCAAAAAGTTCATAAAGTTAAAAGATAAAAATTTTTTAAAAGATATAAACTTTATTTCTCAACATAAGCTCTATCAAATTCCAGACATTTTTGTAAGCGCTGATCCTAACCATTTAGATTGTCCCTAAAGAACTAAATGGTGGCTGGGCGCGGTGGCTCATGCCTGTAATCCCAACACTTTGGGAGGCCGAGGTGGGAGGATCATGAGGTCAGGACCATCCTGGCCAACATGGTGAAACCCCATCTCTACTAAAAATACAAAAACTAGCTGGGTACGGTGGCATGTGCCTGTAGTCCCAGCTACTTGGGAGGTAGGGGCAGGAGAATCTCTCGAACCCAGGAGGCGGAGGTTGCAGTGAGCCGAGATTGCACCACTGCGCTCCAGCCTGGTGAGAAGAGTGAGACCCCGTCTCAAAAAGAAAAACAGAGCTGAGTGTCCTGAGAATTTAACCATGTCAATGCAGACTTTCTTACATTATTAACTGAAGAAAAATTCCTCAAGGGGTACCCTAAAGGGTGCCCTACGTTCCTTAATTCCTTAATTCCTAAAATTAAGGAATTTTTGAGATTAGGAAACAAAAAGAAGTCAGAAGGAGCCAAATGAGGTGGATTTGCAACCACCACAAAGTGGATGGCTCATGATTTCCTGTCGAAACCCTCACACAGTCGCCCTTGCTTGATGAGAGGAATGGACAGGCGCTTTGTCGTGATGGTCTCTGGCAAAGCTTCCCCAGGGGTTTTTCTGTTAAAGCTTTGGCTCACTTTCTCGAAACACTGTCATCACAAGCAGATGTTGTCGTCCTTTGGCCTCCATGTGAACCCCACAAGCAAAACGCCTTGAGCATCCCAAAAATGCTGCCATGGCCTGTGCTTTGGCCAGTCAGCCTGTGCTCTGACTGGGCCCCTTCCACCTCTTGGTAGCCTTTTTTGAGGGGGGATTATGCATTTTCTTCAGGATCGTCTTTGTAAAAGCTATTTTTATCTCCTGTTTGATGTTTGTTCTTGCTTCAGTTTTAGCCGAAGTCATGTAACTCTGATAGTAGCTCTTTTCAAACAGATGTCTTCATCTTCTTAGTGCCTCAAACTAGATCCTATTCAGACATGTTTCAGCAAGTTAGTACAAGTTTATTTTGGTGCCAAACAATTTTGAAATCCGTGAAGTTTTTTCATAATACGCATTTTCTATGAACTTTTTCAAGACTCTTGTGAACCATTTCAAGACACTTGTTAAGAATTAGGGTTTCCTATTGCATCATGGATGTCACACATGCAAAGCCACGTGACCTGAACATGCCTGGGCTCTCAGTGGCAGGGGAGCATGTGCAGGCATGAGTGCCAGAGGTGGGTGACACAGGAGCAGCCCCCACATGCACGACCTCGTAGGACCCTGCATTAGTCTCAGAAGTGGCTCCATCCATCCACTCTCAGGCAGCACCAGAGTGAGAAAAGACACACTTGTCAGGAAGTCTCATGATTCCAGGTTTCTGTCAACCTTCTGCCCACCTGCCCTGTCAGACAAGTGCATACCCCTGGGTCAGTTCGGCTTTCTCAGCACTGCTTCTGTTCTGGTGGCAGTGGAAGAGTGTGAGGCCACTGCCATGGCAGATGCACACTCAAGTCTGCGTATGTTCCTCAGCAGGCAGAATTCCTCCACCACGCACTTCTGTGGCCATGTCTGAGCACAGTGTGCCGCCCCTGGCTGCTCCTTCCCTGGGGGTGAATGCGGGCTTCACACCGCCTTCCTGTGCCTTCCGTTTCAGGCATCAGCAATGCAGAAGCACGGCAGCCAGGGAAGGCCCCCAACTTCAGCGTCAACTGGACGGTAGGCGACTCCGCTATTGAGGTCATCAACGCCACGACGGGGAAGGATGAGCTGGGCCGCGCGTCCCGCCTGTGTAAGCACGCGTTGTACTGTCGCTGGATGCGTGTGCACGGCAAGGTACTGAGGCGCCCTCACCGTGATGCGCCGGCTCCACCTCCCTAATAGCTTGTCTGTCCTCACACCTACTGCTCCTTAAATTGTTTCATCATGTCATCATGCACAGCTTCCTAAATCGATCATTTGGAAACCTTTTGTTCCTTCAGATTGTTTTAGCTTAGAAGTGTGGCCATGTCCCTGAAACCTTAATGCCATCTCAAAGGCAGCTCTTTTCCTCTCTTCTGCAGTAACACCCACTGCCAGACCACTGTGTGTGGTGGAAACATGTCTTACTCTCAGATATTGAAAGTCATTATGCCAGTCTCCCTGCTGTCCCCTCCTTCTCAGCAACACAAAAATTGCCTGGATTCTGATAACCCTCCATGAGAGTTTTTAAACCTTTTGAATTAGCTGTGGGGCCCTTTTTTCCCCAGAATGAAACCTTATATAGTAAGTCAGGATATTACTAGTTTGTATTTATTCTTCAATCAAGTAGATAGCATCTATTTATTCTGAGACCAGCATTGTGCACTGGCATGGGAGGTATAGCCAGAAGTGACAGTGCCCAGGAGGGTCCTGTTCACACAGGGGCAGCACCCAGGCCAGCTGCCGCAAGGCCACAGTCCACACAGAAAGGAGCTACCGGTCACACGAGGGAAGGCCTCCGAGGTCGTCAGGGTGATAACACACACGTAACATCAGTGGTGCTTCTTATAGTTAAAAATGAAACTTGAATCAGCTATTGGTGGTTTCCCAGAAGCACGTCTTCAGAACTCGGGGGTCTGTAGCTGCCTGTTTGACTAGCAAGACTGGAACTGGGCGATAACTCAGGCCTCAGGAGGTGCGGCACCTTGTTCTGTGTGGAGCCGTGCCCTTGGCAGAAGGCGCCTTCCTCTGGGTTGCTTCACCCCAGAAGCCAATGCAGTTCTAAAGGCCATGTTTTGGCATCTTATTAGGTGTTATTTTCATCTGTTACAGCGTCAACAGTTGCATTTGTTTTCTATCTCTTCACAGGTTCCCTCCCACTTACTACGCTCCAAGATTACCAAGCCCAACATGTACCATGAGTCCAAGCTGGCGGCAAAGGAGTACCAGGCCGCCAAGGCGCGTCTGTTCACAGCCTTCATCAAGGCGGGGCTGGGGGCCTGGGTGGAGAAGCCCACTGAGCAGGACCAGTTCTCACTCACGCCCTGACCCGGGCAGACATGATGGGGGGTGCAGGGGGCTGTGGGCATCCAGCGTCGTCCTCCAGAACCTCACATCTGAACTGGGGGCAGGTGCATACCTTGGGGAAGGAGTTGGGGGACACAGGGGACCACTAGGTGTCCACGGTTGTCCCCAGCATCTCACATCAGACCTGGGGCAGGTGCGCAGTGTGGGGAGGGGATGGGGTGTGTCGGGGCCCAGCATCGCCGCCTGGCATCTCTCTGCCACAGCATTTCCCCTTCTGAACCGTCCAGTGACTGCTTTCAATCTCGGTTTACGTTTAGAAATTGAGTTCTACTGAGTAGGGCTTCCTTAAGTTTAGGAAAATAGAAATTACTTTGTGTGAAATTCTTGAATAAATAATTTATTCAGAGCTAGGAATGTGGTTTATAAAATAAGTAATTATGTCAGGTCACTTTTATGCCACATTATTTTAATTGCAAGAAAAGCATCTATATATGGAGGAGGGTGGGAAAATAGAGGTAGGAAGTAGTAGTCTAAAGGAAATCGCCACACGTCTTTCTAAACTTAGGTCTCTTTTCTCCATAGGTACTTCCCTGGGTAGTCTGACACACTAGGTTTTAACAGTCTCCCTGAGGAGCAGACTCCCAGGATTAGGTAGTGTGGCCTTGTCACACACACGGGGCCCCGCAGTGGTGACTGTGTGTCCTGCAGAGTCGTGTCCCAGGCCCCTGTAGCCCTCAGCCTCCTCTAGAAGCTTCTGTACTCCTTGTAGGATCAGATCATGGAAAACTTTTCTCAGTTTACTTCTAAGTAATCACAGATAAAACATGGCCAGTAACCCCAGGCTGGCCATTCATTCAGGTTTTTTAAAGGATATTTAACTTTTATGGACTAGAAGGAATCAGGAGGGCTACTGCACAATACATGGCCTAAGTTCCCTCTGTTCCTTCCTCCGAATTGAATGGATGTGGATGACTGTCCAAAGGCCTTCACAGAATGGAAGTAGAATGATTTCAGTAGATAATCATTCTTGGAAAATGACATAGCAGGCATGTTTTTAAATTATTGTTTCCAGCTTTATCAAAGACATGTTTGAAAAATAAAAAGCATCCAAGTGAGAGCTGGTGAGACCACGTGCTGCTGGTACAGTGTAGACCAGACATTGACAGTCCCGACAGAGGAGCTCAGGGCTGCCCCGTGCACCCAGAGTGCACGGGACAGCCCCACAAGAGAGGGAGCCAGCCCAGGAGGTCAGGAGCGTGGCGGGCCAGGGCCCTGTGTGGACCACCTCCACCGAGCTCAGAGATTTGCACCCGGTGCCTTGTTGCCTCCGCTCAGGATGAAAGAGGAGCCGAGAGAAGTGCTCTGCTCTCTGGTGCAGTGCTCAGCTCCAAGGCTCTGGACGGTGCTCAGGTGGGTCTCCTGGGGCCATGGGCAGAGATTGGTGCAGACTACCCTACAGCACACACCTGCCACAGTGAAATCCAGGGTGTTGGCACCTGTATGTCTGTGATGGGCCTAGGAAACCAGAACAGGGGCAGAGGGGCGTCATGCTCCCACCGGAGGCTGGGCGCTCAGACCCAAAACCTGAAGCACTGTGGCTTTGGTGGGGGATGTGCCTCCTGATGTCGGGAGCCCTATCCACGTGTGTCCACACAGATCTCGTCCCAGCGTGGCAGGAAGAGGTGCTGCTTAGGGCTCATCGTTGGGGACGTGACCAGGTTCAGAGGCTAGAACATCTGCCCCACACCAGCCTTCTCCTCTACCGAAGAGGGTAGTTGTCTCCCTGAAGCAGTCAGAGTGGGCGTCTCAGCCGCTCTGTCACCACAGTGGGGTCTTGTTTGGGCAGACGGTGCTGGGGTTCTGCACCTGCAGAAGGAGAGGTGTCTGTTGCCGCTGGCCTTCCCCCAAGTAGGCTCTTGCACACTCTAGAAAAAACACCTTGTAAGTCTGTGCATTTTTATTCTTGTCTTGATAAATTGTATTTTTTTCTAATGGGGATTGGGAGATGGACTAAGTTTTTAAAAATATGTGGATTTTGGTTACCCAGTTTAGTGTTAATATGTTCCATATACATACAAAACTACCCGGTATGTCTGGCTTTTCCCTTCTGTCAGGTAATAGCTAAAGTAAGCATGATTGCTCCCTGTACCAGGCCAAGTGAGTGAGTGCCTCACCCTGTGGGCCTGAGCAGCTGCCCTGAGACCGTGTGAGGTGGCTCCTTTCCGGGGTGGACTCGTGCAGCCTTGAGGGCAGGCACAGGGCGCCCCGCCCCAAGCCATCCAGACAGGAGGAAGGCAGCCGAGGCAACTGGGTTCAGGGAGCCTAGGGTGGGGCGGCTGCGGGGAGGAGTTGGGTTTGGGGAGCCCTGGGCGGGGCGGCTGTGGGGAGGAACTGGGTTCGGGGAGCCCTGGGTGGGACGGCTGCAGGGAGGAAGATGATGTGCAGGGGACCAGAGGCTCTGCACTGCTCCTATGACAGCTCATCTGTAATCAGAAAAAAATAATAATACAGAATGCTGACTCCTCCCTGAGACAGATCAGGGAACTTAGCACTTTAATCCCTCCCTTCTGAGCGCTCGGTGTGCATTAGACTATAGCTGTTTCATTGACGTGTCATTTTGCATCCAGTGTCCTTGATGTGGGTTTTAGAGACTTAGCAGAAAATTCGACACAAGCAAGAACTTGATTTTTTAAGGAAAATCTTACATTTTGAGGACATTTTGACAAATAGGGGAAGAGAGGGCTTCTGTTTTGTTTTGTTTTGTTAGCTAAACCTGAAGTATTAATTCCACAAAGACACTGTCCCTCAGGACCACTCAGGTACAGCTCTGCCAGGGACAGAGTCCTGCTAGTGGGAGGTCTCAGGTGGGGCGGTGTGTTCTGTGCCACGAGGCAGCGACAGGTCCAGATGGATGTCCTCACCACCTTCCTCAGCTCTCATCACCTGGTCACAGGCCAGGCCCACCTCTTCCCAGCAAGGGACGCCAAAGAACTGCAGTTTTGATTCTGAGTCTTAATTTAAACTTTTCATCATCTTTTCCTATTTTTGAGAAATTTTTGTAATCAAAAGCAATTATTTTAAAATGCGCAAGCCAGTATCTCACAAGGCATGGATTTCTGCGGAATTTATTTTTATTCAAATAACTATGTATCTCCGGGCTGTGGAATCGCCGCTTTCTTCGTGAAGACAGTGCCTCTCCTTGTAATCTCACACAGGTACATTGAGGAGGGGACGGCTCTGTCTTCACATTGTGCGGAGATCTGAGGATGGGATTAGCGAAGCTGTGGAGAGGGCACATCCGGATCTGCCCGTGTCTCAAAACAAACACATGCACAGTGGCTCTTTTTCCTTCTCAAATACTTTACCCCAGAAGCAGGTGGTCTGCCCCAGGCGTAGAGAAGGAAAACTGGCCATCTTTCCCACCTCTAAATTCTGTAAAATTATAGAGTCGCTCAAAAGATTCCTTTTTATCAGCCCCACACTGTGTAAGTGGAGAGGGCATTGTGTTCCGTGTGTGTCCAGTTTACAGCGTCTCTGCCCCTTAGCATGTTTTGTGACAATCTCCCTGGGTGAGGAGTGGGTGCACCCAGCCTCAAGGCCGGTGGGTTGCTCGGGGCCTTCCATGTGAGTTCTAGTGTTCAGCTGATGCCAGGGAATAGAATTAGAGAAACCTCTTACCCACCGGGTGCCAGGGACCGGTGGAGGTGGATGGCAGGTCCGACTCGACCATGACTTTTAGTTGTAAGGGTGTGTTGGCTTTTTCAGTCTCGTGTGAAAATCCTCCTGTCTCTGGCAGCACCGTCTGCACTTTCTTGTTTACTGTCTGAAGGGACGAGTACCAAGCCTCAAGAACACTTCTTTTGGCCACAACATAAGCTAATGGTGTGTAAGGAACTGATGGGCCATTAAACATGAACTGAACGGTTAAAAGCACAGTCTATGGAACGCTAATGGAGTCAGCCCCTAAAGCTGTTTGCTTTTTCAGGCTTTGGGTTACATGCTTTTAATTTGATTTTAGAATCTGGACACTTTCTATGAATGTAATTCGGCCAAGAAACGTGTTGCTAAGATGCAATCCTCAGTGTTCTCTGTATGTAAATCTGTGTATAAACCACACGTTACAACTGCATGAGCTTCCTCTCGCACCGAGACCAGCCGGAACTGAGCATGAGACGCTGTCAAATACAGACAAAGGATTTGAGATGTTCTCAATAAAAAGAAAATGTTTCACTCCTCTGGTGTTGCTGAGACTTCCTTTTCCTTTCAAATTATGTCTGCCTTCAGCTCCACTAGCAGGCCTGGGGATGGATGTCCACGGGCATAACCTGAAAAGGTGGCTGAGTCCTGCCCCACAGCTGCAGCACTGACTTCACCTCGTCTTGCACCTGCTGTGCTTGCACCAGTGCTACTTGCATTTCCCCAACTTGGGACAGTCTCCCCTCAGTCCCCACCCCTGTTAGATTCTTGACTTCTTCACCGTCTTCCTGGAGAGCATGTTGGCACCTCTCCTATATATAAGGTGGTGTAGAGGAAAAGTATGCAGCTGCCCCGCTCTCATCCTGCATATAAAATGGATGACGACACATGCCCATGTTACTCGTTACCCTCACGTTACTTGCGGATAGAACTCAACAAGAGGCAACGGTGACACGGGTGCTGGGGTGCAGTGAAAAAAAGCAGGTGCTAAGTGCCACCATAGAACTATGGTATTTCTAGTTATAACACTGGAAGGACAGTCACAATAAAGTAAGTGGAAAGTTGGCAGCTAAGCGGCATTTCTGTGTCGTGGCTGTGACAGTGTATATATGCTTCATGTACTATACAAGCACAGGTGGGCCAGGCTGGCTAAGGAGGGAGTCTGGCCGTGGTCTGTGAACATGGAATTTGGGATGGTTTTGATTTTGTGTTCCTTTTTAAAAAGCATATCTATTTGTCTCATGTTTCTACAATTAAATGAACAATTTAGGAAAATATTTTGAAAAGTCAAAAGCACCATACAAATAATAAAAACAGCACTATTACAGACAGATAACTTGATTTTCTCATTTGCATCAATTTTGAAACTATTTCATTTTCCCACAATAAAAACGTTAAAATATGTTGCAGCAAAAACAAGCTTCAGAGAAAAGAACGAAGGGAACCCTCTCCCTGACGAGTAAATCCTTTGAACAGCGATTCTTCGGGAGCTGCCTCGGGGGCCACACTGGATGGAATACTCGGACTCATTATTCTATCATGGAATTGGGGAAATGTCCCGAATTTGACCAAGTAAGATGAAAGTTTTGCTTTTTACAAGATACTGTATAGTGAATCTCGTAGAGCCTGACTGTAAATGTTGAGGTTCTTGAGCTTTTATTCAGTACATGCGTAATGAAGGCCAACCCGGAATACACTGTTCCAGGTGCTTGGA